GAACCTAGTGTTCTCAGGACCTAGCTTGAAGTCTTGCACGCTATCCCGGTAGCTAACCCTGTGACCGTGGGAAGTGGCCTACGGCCACTGAATTGGGCAGGACCGGGGTAATACCCCAGCGTAGTGCAGAGGCTAATGCTGGACCTTCCATCGTGTATTTTCTAGTGGCGACGGTGACGCACTTTGTCCTTGGCCCTTATTACAGGAAGTAAAAGCCCTTACCTACCGACGTTACTGAGGAGGGGCGTGGGTTTGCAAGACATACCTACGTAACCGGTGGAAACAACCGCGCTATTGTTTGTCGTTTATAATGAAACATTCCATTCAAGTAATACTACCAGAGGTACCATGATAACGAAGGATTTGAAAACTGATAAAATCAGACTGGATTTTATCTGTGGATTTTATCCTGGAATTTTCAATCTACAAGTGACATTTATTAAGACTATTTCACAAATGAAACTTTGAGTACAGTTTTAAGAGAGTCAAGTTAAATAAATACAATTTATATGCTAATAGTTTGTGCAGAAGATTTTTGACCAATCGCCCTTCGTTCGCGTGTGGCGTCTATCTCTTGTTTACATTGTGAATAAATAACTGGTTGTTAGAAGTTATAACACTAAAGTGATAAAACGTGTGGATAATTAGTCTCAAATTGCTTCAGAGAGGAGGAGTTCTTAAATACTATTGGAGTAAATTTCATAAATGGAGTAGTCATTGAAGGAATTGGCGTGGACATGGTCACACAAATCGGTGAAATTTTGATCCTGCAAAGTTCGCGAACGTTATGCAGAGTCTCACCGGGCGACACTAGCACCCTGCAGTTTAGTCCACAGTTCGAACGGGAGGTTGATTTACAGATTACTTTAAGAAGGGACTGTTTTGACAGCTATTGCTTGGCTACTGCTGGCAACAAACCTACAAGTTATGGCCAGGCACTAATTTTGTCAATGCTTTCGCTTACAGATAGCTCAGATGTATATAGCTTCATCGCTATCTCGTACAATACCATCACCGTACAACGCCGTTCATTTGTTTCCCGACCCGTCAAAGTGGTCCCTTCTTGGAGTAACTCCTCTATAGGCCCTGGGCGAATGCTCATTCGGATGTTCACCGCAGGCGACGCCGGACACGGCGCTGGAGGCGCTGGCCGGGCCGCGTGCGTGAGGCGGAGCCCCGCCCCCGAGCGCGCCCCGCCCCCGCCCCGGCCCCCGCCCCGGCCCCCGCCCTGCCCCTGCCGCACCGCCCCTGCTCTCCGACGACCCCCGTGCCCGAGGCGGACAGCCCTCAGCCCGAGGAGGAGGAGGCGGCGGCGGCGGCGGCGGCCGACGCCGACCCGCGCTTCGACCACGGCGCCGCATACGAGGACACCACCCCCACCTTCGAGGACGAGGACTCGCCCTTGCTCGTGCCCACCGCAGAGGACGTCTCGGAGGTGAGGACGACACTCCTGACGTGTTACCTGTTGAACCACAGATAAATTTTCGTTCATAGATATTGGCAGTTGAGTTAGAAGTGTATAAAAACACCAATTCTCGCGAAAATTTTCTAGAATAATAATATTGCTTAAATTGAGACGAAAGTAAAAACGTTAAGCAATGATACAAATAATTCTGAATATCAGGAAACACTTGTACATAATATGGTTTGGAAATTTCGCGGGTGATTTACAATAAAGCGCAAGAAAACAAATTCAAAAAAAATCTAGGGCGTGTAATGCACAAATTTACAGCGCTCTGGAAGTGTACAGCATTTTTCACCTCTTCTAACTCAATGGCCCGGGACTAGAACTGTCTGTAGTGGATGTATTTCCGTTCAGAAATTTCATAGTTCTCTTTGCTTATTGCAATAAATGAATCACCGTTCCTCTTTTATTCTCCGATGAATTTCGATGGGCTTAATTTTATTGTATAACAGAAAGCGAATATTACTATACTGCTCATCTTTGGTGTGATGCCAATAGTGCCTTCATAACTGCGTTGAAATCAGCCGCTTGTATCATGTAAGAGGCGTCAGATGCTCTTAACAGCCCAATGTGCGAGCTTCGCGCTTTGTTTCGCAGCTGGACACCTCGGAGCAACGCTTCTACATCGACGACGTCCCCGACTCCAGCGGGCCGCCTGCGCCCGCGCCCTCTCCCGCGCCCTCGCCCGCGCCCGCCCGCGCCGCCTACCGCCCCGCGGGCGCTCCGCCCAGCCCTCGCCCCATCCCCGAGACGCCCACCGTCACCTTCCCCATGGACGCCAACGTGGCGCCCACGGTACCCGACGCGCCCGCCACGCCCCCTACGAGGTTCGACCTGGGGACCCCCAGCGCCGGCGGCGCGCCGCAACGCTACCACCTGCCCACGTTCCACGCGGACGCCCCCGCGGGCAAGCCCCAGCTCACGCTCAAGGACTTCGCCAAGCAGCACCTTTACGAGCGGCGGAAGGACGACTACCAACCGGAAGTGCGCCGGATCGACGACTACTACCCGGAAGTGCGCCGGATCGGCGAAGCCGAGGCTCCGGGTATTCGACGCGTGGACGATCTGAACGATAGCCCGCACGCGCGACCGGCGGAGGAGTCGGATCCCGCATCGGAGCGACCGGGTCAGCGACGCGCGGACGCGGAGTCGGAGTCGGAGCTGAAGAAGCACCTGCTGCTGGAGATCAAGGCCGCGCACGGCCGCGACCGCCTGGGGCTGAGCGAGGCGTCGCCCACCGACGCGCAGCTCAACGAGTTCCTGCTGCGGGAGATGACGCGCGACTCGCGGCGGGAGGAGCTGGTGCCGCGCGAGGTCGCGCAGGCCGACGCCGGCAACCTGCTGCGGCGCGACGACCGATACCCGTCGCCCGCCGCGGAGCGCGCGCAGTACTACGTGCAGGTGAGTGCGCCGCCTGCAACGCTCCCGTGCTCCCTGCTAAGCTAACGTTGGGTTTTAGGTACCAGAATGAGTAAACCAACAGAAATTATAAATATACATGTAAATTTTTGGTCAATTGGGATAGAAAATTCGAGTGTTTTAATTGGTAGTGCAATGGAATAAAATGAGCTATTCTCTATCTTGTACGTCATATTGACTTTCAAATGATTTTATACAGAATAGTATGTCACTACATAGTTTGTTCGTGCAATTAAGAAAATGTCTATAGATTTAATTGATAGTGCAATGAAATAAAATTAGCACTAACATTTCTATTTTCTGTCAAAGTTTTAAATAACTTTGTACAGCCTATTATGTTACTTCGTTTGTTTGTGCAATTAAGAAAGAAGTATAATCCTTTAATTGACAGTGCCATGGACTACAATGAGCACTATTCTTTATATTTCCCGTTAGAATACGTTTCAAATAACTTTGCACAGCCTAGAATGTCACTACATTATTCGGTTTGCTTCATTGCCTCTAATAGAGCAAAACGTCAGTCGTATTTCTAATGCGTAAACGTAACGTTTCCAACAGTACGGTGAGGTCAGGTTTGTAATTTGGACGTTATAAAAACAACTAATACGTGGTATATTTAAATCACGTGTCAAATTTTGTAGTTTAGGCGTCAATGAAAAAATATTAGTGGTCGTATAACTCGTTGTCGGATCACTTGCAATGCACGCACACGACGCGACATCCAGACTCTATTGCTTTTAGACTGCACGGCTAACAGACAGGAAATATTTTACTTTTCCCTTCTTGATACGATGCAACACGAAAACAACAATGCGGCCTCTAATAGCGGCCGGCGCGCAATCTTCCGCCTTTTCGTCCCGGCCAACCCACGTGAAACTATTGGTGTAGAAAGCTGTTTCGACGCTGCTTTTCTGTGAAATCTCCGGTTTCCCCTGCCTCACATTCCACCTTCTGCTCCATCTTCTTTTTTATTATTCACGACGTCATGCGTCATAATCATCATTCACGTTTCAACGTAACGGAGAGATCCGACGATGGCTGCGTTAAGATTGTAGCTGCGATAAGCGGTATTTATATTCAGGCCTTACGTTCAAATTCCTAACTCTCACATCCGCCGGTCGGACGCCGCTAAAGTGTTGCGCATGCCAGCAGGAGGCGCCGGTTGCGGTAGCTTAGTGGCAACACTGCAGCTTTTGCTAGACTAGAACGTTCTAGAGTTCGAGTCCCGACGGTTGAAGATTATCGACACCAACTACATACCTGGGACGAACTCATTTACTGACGGGAGGAGAATTCTAGTGACCGTTTGTTCTGATCGGTTTCGTGTGGGCATTCATCATTACCAGGCGAATGCCGGATACCGGAACATCACCTTAACAAACGGGCCAGGGATAGCGCGATCTCTTGTTCTTTGCCCTAGTCCTTCGTTTTCTCCTTCTATACACACAATTACTTGCACTACACTACCATACATGTCAGGAGAAGTCGGAAACTTGGAGCTTTTCCCTGCTGGGTAGTGCCCAGCTGGAGAAGATGGTTGGCGCACTGAATCTCTGTACTCGGTGGCTTCACCGAAGAGGGAGATGGCTACTCTGAGAGCCATCTCAATAACATTGACTTTTTTCCTTTTCGATAGGCACACAAGAAAACCACTTTTTAAGGAAGCACACAAGAAAACCACTTAAACCAATTACTTATTCGTGCACAAAACTGCTCACATTTCTGTTCCTTAGTTTCGTGAATGCAATCCCTAGCTCGCATTGACCTATCTGATCGATGTTTCGAGAATCCATGTTTTGTGAACAGCTACTGTAGGCTTAGATGGCATAACTGCGTATGAGTAGTGACTCTTCTTGTGAATCTTGCTCACATTTTAACGGTCGTCGAGGGCACAGACATTTCGTGCAAAATCTACCTGGAGTGGGGGTTCCCGATCACCCGTTACAGTGGGAGAAGTATACCGTCACCACCCAACGAACACTACACTCACGGGACTAATGCCCCAAGTAGTTGACGTCCCCGGGTGAGTCAGTACGTTGCAACTCCACAGGAGGCGCCAGCGCCATCCCCCGCGCCCCCGGGCAGCGGCAGCGCCGTGAGCGCCTTCCTGCAGCAGCGGGTGCAGGAGCTGCAGGCGTGGCTGGGCGGAGGCGTGGCCGGGAACGAGGCGGGGGCGGCGGACGCGGGCGCTGGCGGGGGCGGGAACGGGCCCGACCTGCGCGCGGTGCTGGCGTCGCTGCAGACGGCCCTGCGCGAGGGCGACGCCACGCCGATGCTGGCGCGGCTGCGCGAGCTGTACTACCGCGGGGGCGGCGGGGGCGCGGCGGGCCCCGCGGCGGCGCTGCGCAACAGCAGCAGCCTGCTGTCGCTGGGGCTGTTGGCCTTCGACCTGCTGCTGCTGCACAACGTGCAGCAGATCGCGTGGGGCGAGGAGCCCGACGCCGGGCGCGCCATGCTGCAGGACCCCGAGGTGGCCGCGCTCAACGCGCTCTTCGTGGACCCGGCGCAGCTGCGCGCCACGCACGACGACCCCGTGCTGGCCGCGCTCGACCTCCAGCCCGGCGCCGCGGGCGGCGGCGGGCCGCAGGTGAGGGCGCCACGCACCACGAGTGTGTCTGTGTACGTGGGTATGTGTGTGCGTGTGTGTGTGAGAGAGAGAAAGAGAGAGAGAGAGAGAGAGAGAGAGAGAGAAAAGAATCAAAGAGAGACAGAAACAGAGAGAGAGTTTATGTAGGAGAGAGAGAAGGGAGAGTGAAGGGAGAGAGAGGGACACAGAGAGAGGGACACAGAGAGAGGGAGACAGACAGAGAGAGGGAGACAGACAGAGAGAGGGAGACAGACAGAGAGAGGGAGGCAGACAGAGGGAGGGAGGCAGACAGAGAGGGAGGGAGACAGAGAGAGAGGGAGGGAGACAGAGAGAGGGAGGGAGACAGAGAGAGAGGGAGGGAGACAGAGAGGGACAGAGAGAGAGAGAGAGAAACAGAGAGAGAGAAACAGAGAGAGGCTGAGTCGGAAGAGAGGGGGAATAGTGAGAGGGGCGGCAAAAGAGGCTAGAAAGAGGTGCAGGGACAAAGTGGAGTAACTGGTGTGCGATAGGGATTATTGCAAAGAAGTCTCGGAGTACGGAATTGTTGGAAGGAATGGGTATTGCGAAATAGAGACAGAGAGGTAGAGAAAGAGGTGAAAGGTTACGATGCGAGCTAGAAAGTGGTATTCAAAAGAGAGGGGTGATGAGAGAAAGGAAACAAAGAGGAAGAGAGGAAAAAAGCGCAAATGTTAGAAAACTATTTACGACGAAAAGCGTAGATATTTTAAGTGAGAACGAGTTGTAGGACCCGAGTAAGAATGAAGAGAATGTGACAAAGGGAAGGAGAAAAAACGAGATATAATGAGAGAGAGACAGAGAGAGAGTGAGAGAGAGAGTGAGAGAGAGTGAGAGAGAGTGAGAGAGAGAGTGAGAGAGAGAGTGAGAGAGAGAGTGAGAGAGAGAGTGAGAGAGAGAGGCGGGGGCCAAGAAAGACGCGGGAGAGTATCTGGAGAACGGAAAAAAGAAATTTGCGAATAATCTAAACGGCATACGTATAGCGAACATTTGTCTCCACATTTTTTAACGGTTTCCTTATTATTTCGGAATTTATCGTGACAGTATAATGAATTGTAATCCTTTATTAAACTATTTTTATACTTTGTTGAAGTTCACTTTCGAAATAGATCCCTTGCATATGCATGAATCATTGTCCATAAAGTGATCCCATGAATCTATAATCAGTTACTTACTCCTTCTATGAAAGGGAATACGAGAGTAGGATCGCTACCTATTCAACGCTTGCTTTGTAAGGAAGCGGCAGGAACTTCCTGACACCTTGAACGGCATAATTACTTTTTCATTCGCTGACACGACGAGAAAGGAACTACCTATTTACTTTCGTCGTCGTCGTCGTCGTCGAGAAGCAGATGTATTCCTCGCTATTAGGAACAATGATGAAGCAGGATGCCTTGATGACGTAGCCGTGCTATACAGTAATGAAATTCTACCTCGTTCGTTTACAGCTTACCTTCTAGATCGTCAAGTTTGAGCAAAAACATGGGAATTATTCAAAGATTTCCGTTTATAACATCAAATTTTTAAACAACGCAAAGACAGAAGTAATTGTGGAATAATACAGCTTATTTTTTTCCCCTTCTTCACCTCCTGAAATATGTAGTTCTTCATTGTACCAAAATGTAAATTGAATCTATCAGTTATTTTGTTGGTAGTGTATTATTCTGAGAAAAAGCATTTGTGACAAAGTTTTAACATTGTTTTGTGTGATTAAATGTAGTATTTATGAATATATAAATAATGTATGTATTAAATTATAATTCACTACATTATTGGCTTTCATCTGATAGATGACAATTTTCATGAGCCTCCGCCACAGAATTTTTATTCTTGTTAGCCTCGTACAAATTCCACCCAGTCGAGGTCCGAGATCTCCGCGATATCATACACTACAGGTTAGGATTTTGGTGCACACGATGACTCACTATCGAGGAGGGAAATGAAAGAGATGAATATCTATGGAGGGAAATGTAATATAAAGAGAACGACGACACTGAAGGTTTCGGCAGCGTAACTGATATCATAAATCTATGAATTTTTGAACATTTTCTTTCACGACATGGGTTTGGCTGATAAGTTCGCGCCTTGCCAAGGTGGCGTGAGGTTGGGTTTTTGCCCCTAGTAGGCAACCGTAACACCACCTCTTTCCATCTTCGTTGTTAACAGGCACAAACCGGCCTAGCCTTGCTTACGCTATCGCTATTGGAAATCTTTGAATGCCTTTCATTTTCTTTCACGACGATAGTTGCTCTGGGCAATTTATGTCGTGTCATGTAACGTATGCCGTGCTACAGCCACCAGTAGGCAACCTTTGCATCACCTCTTTAGCTACTCACCATCTTTCTACGTAGTGAATGAGCTCTAACCGTCATGGCGTGGCGTGCGTTATCGCTAGATAACTTGAGCACTTATCATTTCCTTTCGTGACATTAGTTGTCCCGATCACTTCATGTTAATCCACGGTGGCGGAAGACATGCTAGTCCCAAGAGTAGAACCTTGACATCATCTCTCTGTGTCTTCGTTCTGAACGAGCTCTAACTGGTGTGGCCTTGCGTACTTCATCGCTAATACGATCTCTCTGTATATGAAGACTTTTTAGCGCATATCATTTCCTTTCATCACGCGAGTTGTGCAGATCAATTCACGTTAATCTACGGTGGCGGAAGGCAAGCTACTGCTAGCAGTACGCCTACTGATGTAGTAGCTTGCCTTCCACCATACAACTTCGGCAGCACCTCTCTACATCTTCGCCTTAAGCTCTAGCCGGCGCGGGTGGCGTGAGCTATCGCTAGAGGTTTCAGCAATTGTCATTTTCCTTTCATTGACATTAATCGCTCTGTTCAGTTCACACCAAGTCACAGTGTTGCGAGGTGTCCTACAGCGATCTTGGCGCCACCTCTCTACGCGTTCGCCCCAAGCTCTAACCGTTGGCGCTGGCGTTGCAGGACCTGAGCCTGCTGGAGGAGCTGGTGGAGTTCGTGAAGAGCGCGGCGCGCGCCGTGCTCAGCCTGGGGCGCGCCTACCGCAGCGGCGGCGGCGTGCTCGATTGCGTGTGGACGCTCTACTGCCGCAACCTGGACAAGACGGCGCGCATGCGCGGGCCCTACGGCTTCCTCGCGCGGCTCAACGGGTGAGGAAGCAAATCTTCGTTACTATGCTTACCGGCACCAGCGTAGTCACTGCAGCACCGTTGATCGGGAGGTCCTAGGGTTCAAGTCCCCGCGATGGCGGCATTTCGAATCTAATCTAGCTATATAGTTCGGGCGTATCAACAATTGTCTGGAAGATAATTCTAGCGGCTGGATACTTTGTTTGGTAGTTCATCGTGGTTTCTTTGATTATTACCAGGCGAGCGCCGGAGAACTACCGTAAAAAACGGGCCTTCGACTGTTCGTAAACTTTCCTTGCTCAAACTTGACCCCTCGTCTCTCTTTTTAAATACAGACATGCCCTTCCAAACACTACACCTCCAAGCATGTCGAGAGAGCAGTCGGGAGTGTAAAGCTTGATACTGCTGGGGTGGTGCCTTGCTGGGCGAGATGCTGGGGAGGGGTAATCCACAAACCGACCTGTAGGTTGGCGCCGGATCTCACGATCAAGTGGAAGAGAAACACCGTTACCTCCCAGGATATATGAACTAATCTTATGGGAGTAACGATTGACGTTTTCGGAATCAATATTCACTCACTTACCCTCCCTCGAGGAACTACACTCGCCTTTCATGTCTTCGTTTTTGACATGCAAAGGTTTCCGATATAAAATGTTTTGATGTATGCCGCGTAGATCCCCCAAGAATACATCGGCACGAAACTTCGTGTGTCAATTTTAAAACTGCACATGGTTTAAAACGAATAAAAGTGAAGTTTGCATATTGCGACAGCTGGTGCGCATGCAACCTGGAACATCCAGTTATGCTGCAAAACACGTTTTCATTGTGTCTATCCCCAAAATTCCGAACCCCAATTAAAACTCCGTCCCCCTTTAGACATGCGAGTTACGTTTTCTGTGCTTTGTACCGTAATATACAAAATGAGATGTTTCTGGACGTTTTATTATATTATTGGAGGTGATTCCCACTTTGTAGTTCAGTTTGTATAATACATTCGAAGACGGTTGCCAGTTTGAAGCTATTTTCACTTTTGAAAGAATCATTTACAAAGTACAGAATATTTTCATGTGTCCAAAAAGTGTAATGTAATAGGGAATTTGTGCACCGTCGTATTTCAAAGCACAATCGATTCTCTGCGCATGCGCAGTTCAAGTTTCGCACCACTTTAGTGCATCTGCGCATGCGCAGAAGATAGATAGTGCTGTCCGCTATGGCGTGCACAAAGTTCCTAATAAAAACATTCAATGTGTGCTGAGGTCGACCGACGTTTTATTGATGGTATATTTCGTGTTTCCGAATGCGTCAACTGCTATGGTCATTCGTCCCCAAAGTGTAGTGTATGTTTTATCACGGGAGGTGGCGATCATCTTCCCCCACTGGATAACGAGACCCACCGCCGACCTACACGTCGACTTCCGGGGTTTTCTCTAACCAGGTATCTACCCAGCGGACCCCGCTGCCGGAACAACCTCTAAGCTTCCAACATGTCTCCCGACATGTGTGGTAATGTAGTGCATGTAAGTGTACGTGTGTGAGGGGCGCGGATAGGACAAAGAAGATGTAGACGCGCGTGGTCCGTTTGTCAAGGTACTGGTCCAGCATTCGCCTCGTGACCAAAGAAACCACAGACAACTATCGATCAGAGCAGCCGGTCACTATAATTCTCCCGCAGAGAGCGACTTACTTCAACCTCGCTATCTAGCTTGTGACGAAATTCGTGCCACCGTCGGTTCTCGAGCCTTAGGACCTCCTGGCCAGAGCCGTCGTTTGAGATGTGTGAATATGTGTGTAGGTTGGGGCTACGGCTGTTGATGGGCGAGTTTCCGCTGGAGACGGCGCTGGACACCATCCTCCGTGAGATGGCGCACGGCTGGACCAGCATCGACTGCGCCAACTTCTTCCCCAAGTGAGTGACCTCAGCGGCCGCGCAGCCGTTTGCTGCGTGGAAATGTTGTACGCTTCGAAGCAGAGAGAGACGACGTGAAAATTGTGGTCATGTATTACACAATGTTAATGCAAGCATGTTGTTAGTGGGATTTTGTGAGGTTTTAATGTTAGCGGTTTGCGTTTGAATTGAAGTAACACATCATTCTTGGTAATGGATTTTAAATCACAACTGCAAAAAATAATGAAGTTTCTTCTAAAAACTCTTTGAATCAATATTTAGGTTTGTCTGTTATAAAATATTTGATTTGAAATCCTCCAAAGAATACGTTCTGGCACTGAACCAAGGGGAAAAAATCCTGAAACTTGTTTGGGACAAATGTGTTAATTAGGATAGTTAGAAAACTAAGTGATATTCTTGTTCGTTTGTCTTTTCTGAGATTCGTTAGTAATTGTCTCTAGATATTTCGATCCCTAAATAGGTGTGTACTAATCCATTACAAAATGTCCTGATGTGTAATTTTGATCATAACATCTGATTAATTACATGCCACTACAAATCTGTTTTTGTATTTGCTGCTACATCAAATGGTGATCGTTGATGTCATAATTTTGATTTTACAAAGCATTAACATGCTCGTAATATTTACACGTCTGGTATAACACGTTTAGGTATACTTCAAAGGTGGACTATTGTGGTCTCTGAGAATAACGGTATGAACAAAAGAGGCATTCACTAATTTAAGAGACAAGTCATCTTGAGAGATAATATCTACTCCCATTCCCATACGCGTTGAGCAGATTGTCGTTTCTCGGTTGCGTGAGGCATTATAACCTGTATTCAAGAAATTGCTTTAATTTTTCTATCTCGTTTCTCGTAACTTGATGTAACTGTTCATTTGCACTGTGTAATTTCATCTGTTTTGAAAGCTTTTGTTTATTTACGAGGAAGTAAGCCGCCGGGAACGAATTCTCCGTGTGAGATAAGTGATTATCTTTCTTTTCCTCAAGGCAATGAAATGCTAGCCTGACCTCTTCGTGCTGAAGTACCGTTGTGATTCGTGTGTCTGTGCACATCACCTGTTCCCTTTCCTTTCCTTCCTTTTCAAGACTTTCGCACTACCCTTCTCCTTTCTCATACTGGCACCCTCTCCTCACCTTGCCATATCCCTTTCTCTTTCTCTCGTTTTCTGTTCGTACTTCTCCCACCCTCGTCATGCTTTATCTCTAGTTATCTTATGCCTGCTTATTTTTACTTTAGCTTTCTCTTTCTCTGATTTCTTCTCTTTCAAACTCCTATGTTTCTGACTTCCATCCACTCTTCCTCGTTTCTCTTTACCTCTCCGCGTCTCCCCTTCTCTTTCCCTCTCTTGCTCTCTCTCTCTGTCACACACACACACTTGTCTCGCTCGTAGCGAGATTCGTTTGAGATATGTATGTATGTGTGTTTGTATTGGTGTTCGCAAACGTGTGTATAAGTTGCCATGTTGAACATCTCGCTGCATGCTTTACTTTGCTTTGCATATATAACGAAACGTTAAATACTGTGACGCTTCCAATTTAAGTCGTGATGGCAACGGAGTAACGGGGAAGTGAGCTTCGGTTTTAAAGCATCTCTGCACCAAGTTACTCTTCTGCTCGATTGGCGAGATAGCAAGTTATAAACGATTTCATGTAATTGTACTTATTCATTATTTACATTAAGCTTATCTAAATCTTGGATAGCACTTAATTACTGCCTTTGTGACATAATTCAAGGGAACCGTATTGTACGAAATCGCCTCCCTGAAGACTGCAGATTTATCTCTAGATCTGAACTTTTGCGGGATCAAAATGAAACGGAACTAAAAAGAGAGTTGAAGGATAATTGAGAAATTTTCATATCAAGAGATAATATTAATTACTGTATCTTATTTTTTGATTTGTATCAGAATAATACAATCTCATCAAAGATTGTTAATCTTGGACTCTTACAAAATATTCATAAAAATGAAATATTACGTTGTTGAGAGATCTGGATAGAAGAAATAAAAATGCAGATAGTGCACCTCTAATGCGTTAAGTGAATATTTCACAAATCCATTAGATACATTATTATCATGTGCATAAATATTTTAAGTAAAACATCTTTTTCCACAAATGATCAAATATTTCCCAGCAGTAAAGAAATATTTTACAGGGATTATTCTCGTATCGTTATTGTATCCATTATAATAAGAAATGTTGCGTTAAATATTTTTCGTATGCTTATACTAGATAAAAAGAGACATAGTGTTCTTTAAATTTTCAATGAATAATTGAAAAAAATGTATAATTTCTTGAGGGGAGGGGATAAGCATTTTAGCTGAATTCCTATTTTTATTCCCAAAGGTTGTTGGCCCTGGGGGTATTGATGATGAGATGATAATAGTGAGGGATGAGAGAACGGCCCATATCGACGGAACACTTATCGACAAATACAAATACACCCATGGTGGAGGCGGGACTCGACCCAAGGTCTTCTGGTCCGAGACCGCAACGGCACTATTCCCCTAACGATCTCGGCCATCTAACCGGTACACATACAAAATATTGAAAGGAATCTTAAAAAAGTACATTTCTCGAAACTTCTAGCTACTAATATATTTTTTCAAGTAATGAGGACAAACAATATACTTACGTATTCGTCAGCAAACGATTAAATGCCAAAATCAACTGTGGACAATTCTGAGAGACAACAGCATTTGCGTGTTGCCTCGAACAATTGAATCGTTTATTTCAGAAATCCGTCAAACGCCAAAATCTAATAGGTGCATTAGCGGCGGATTATTTCTCCAAGAGGATTGACACATAGTTTAGTGCATATTTAAATGAAAAATATTCATTTATCAACTGCTTTAATATATACAAATATTTTTAAATCAGATATAAATTGGGAGACTTTTTCTCAGTTTCCTCGGAATGAAGAGTTTGGCGTTTGACGGGTTTCTGAAACAAACGATCCACGCCGCCCGTCGCCGCCGGCCTCCCCTCGCGTGCGGTTGTCTCCGCGCGCTGCGCTGCGCTTCGCTGCGTGCCGCGGCGGGCGGCGGCGTCGTCCCAGGTGACAAGGGCGCGGTGTGTCGGGGCGTGCGTGCAGGAGGAGAGGGTTCAACGCCCGTGGTGTGACGAGGCGCTGCGCGGCACGGTGAGCGCTCCTTGGCTGCGCTAATTAAGCTTCCGGTGGAGAGGGGGGGGGGGAGCAGGGGCTCCGTCACGGCCACAGCGCGGAACTGGGCCGCGCGCGCACCGCGTACTCGACTCTGCTCCGCGCCGCCCCGCCCCGCCTCGCCCTGTACCGGCGAAGCTGCTGCTTTCCCATGCGGCGGCTGCCCAAGCCCAGACACTTCCCATTCTTCTTCGTATTTGCTCAGTTTTCTTTCTTGTCCTCAATTTTCTGTCTTGTGTTCGGTTTTCTGTTTTGTCTTCAGTTTTCTGTCTTGTTGTCAGTTTTCTGTCTTGTTGTCAGTTTTCTGTCTTGTTGTCAGTTTTCTGTCTTGTTGTCAGTTTTCTTTCTTGTCAGTTTTCTTTATTGTCAGGTTTCTGTCTTGTCAGGTTTCTTTTCTATCGCCAGGTTTATTTGTTGTCCTCAGGTCTCTTTCTTGTCGTCAGGTTTTCGTCAGGTTTCTTCCTTGTCGTCAGGTTTCTTCCTTGACGTCTGTTTTCTTTCTTTCTTTCTTTCTTTCTTTCTTTCTTTCTTTCTCTCTCTCTCTCTCTCTCTCTCTCTCTCTCTCTCTCTATTTCTTCAGGTTTCTTCTTCTTTCCTTGATAATATATTCGAAATCGTTTAAAATGTATTTCTTAGGTGTCACTTCTTTTTCTTGGTTAGTTTCTCTCTAAATTTGTTTGTCTCACGTTTAAGAGAATCTGTATATTTATTTGCTCTGATTTATGCAGCGTTTTTGTCTTTCTCTAATGATTTTGTTCGTGCTTTCAATTATTATTATTATTATTATTATTATTATTATTATTATTATTATTATTATCATTATTATTCAGTTTTTATTTTTTATTTTCTTTGTTTATCTCTCTCCATTGACATCTTCAATTGGTCTATTTTCCTGAATTGAATTGATTATACCGGTTTTAACATGTACTATATCATATAGCATCCACTATCATACTCTCTATCCATATCCCCAGTGCGCATTTCCAAGAGCGACAGATGTAGATTTCATTCTAATCGGGACGGTCTTCTAGTCGACTTCTCTCGCCTAAAACAAATAAAAAATCTTGGAGATGAGTGCTAAATGACGGAACAAAGTGAAGGGGAACGTTAATGCAACGTAGGAAGACTAATTAAATATTTTATTTGCCCCTTTATGTCCTTTCACCATTAAATATATGTTGTTTGTCCCCATTTCGTCATCTCCCCAGACCTTCTATTTCTGCTTTAATTATGCGAAACTAAATGAAGAAAAAATTCAAGTTCTTGAAAATCCCGTTGCAGTTGTCAACTTGTACCGCGTGACTTCTGATTGCAGATATAGGTGAAATCTGCCATTGCTGGAAACCAATATTTAAATGCGTGCAAGACTTTGCCCAAGCCATGAACGCAGTTCTGGCAAATCAATGGAAGTACCGTGGTACCTTTGATTAATTATTGTAGAGCCTTTATCGATGTGTCAAGAACGTCGGAAAGTACTTGAGGGATTTTTTGTCATGATTCCAGAGCCTTAGCCTTATGGCTATGCCTATGAAATGGATAAACGGTTTGATAAGTTGGTGATATGAAGATATGTTAGGAATGAGCAAATATCAAGGAGAAATGGGAGGCAGGGAAACAAGAGTACCGTGAGAATACCGTTTTGTTCGCCCCAGATTCCACGGAGATCAACCGGTGTTTAAACTTAGGTTCCTGCTTCGAAGAATATTGACAGGCGTGTTAATACATTATCATAAAGGGGATTTTAAAGGAACATTTCCAAACGTTTTTAGTGAATTTCATCACGTCACAGACGTCCACTCGCCCATTTTTTTAGCAAATGTAACTTGTATAACATC